ATTGTCCTTACAACTGATACCTCTCTGTGGGTTTGGGGAGCCCACTGCGGGGCACTTATGGCTCAGGGCCAGTGGTCAATGTCAGAACAGACTCTGCACATTGATTGACTGAAGCTTATGGTGGTTCATTGCGCCCTCCACTCCTTCCTCCCTTCTCTGCACGGCCTGCATGCCCAGGCCACCACCGAAGACATTGCAACCATTTATTATGTCAACAAGTAGGACAGAATGGTATCTGTGAAAATTTGCAGGAGAGCGCTAACCTTTTGGTACTGGTGCAGGGCTCAGAACACGCACCTCACAGCTGTTCATCTGCCAGGTATCCAGATCTCCGAAGCAGACACTCTAAGTTGGACATGATCAAACGAGCACAAGTGGTCATTGAATCCCAAATACCTGTGGCCCATCTTCCATGCTTTTAGGTGTCCCCAGATAGATGTTTTTGCTACCAAGGACAATGCAAAGTGTCCAACATTCTACAGCCAAGGTCCTCTGACTGGAGTCTCATGGGGAGATGTCTTCCTGCACCAATGGACAGGGTCTCTGCATTACCTGTTTTCCCCATTTCCGCTTATCACCAGAATGATTCAGAAACTTATTAATGACCATTCAGACTGCATTCTGGTGATTTCCTGATGGCCACGACAACTGTGGATTGCTAGTCTACTACGACTGTCTTGAGCGATTTACCTGCACCTCCCCCTGGTGCCAGACCTCCTCTCTCAACATTATGGCCAGGTCCTGCACCACAATCTGAACTTTTTCAGATTGATTGCATGGTGAACCTCACCGTGAACCTCCTGCCTGAAGTCTGACACATTCTGCTGAATGCCCAGAAGCTGGCTACTTGCCATTCTTACCTGGCAAAGTGGTGACATTTCACAACCTATGCTGCTAGCCACTATTTGAACCCACAGACCGCTCCTCTCCTGGACATCCTGTCTTATTTGGTCTCTCTTCATGTATCGGAACTCGGCTATTCCTTGCTGAAGGTGAATCTTTCTGCAATTTCTGCTTTTTATCAGTTTGTAGATGGGAGAACTGTTTTCTCCCACCATGTTTCCAAATCATTTTGGAAGGGTATGCTTCAGTTGCACACTCCAGTTAAACCCATAGTTCCAGCATGGAATCTGTCACTCATCCTCTCGAAGCTCATGGGCAAGCCATTCGAGCCCCTTGCGACCATGTCTTTGCATCTTCTCTCCTGGAAGATGGTGTTTTGGTGGATATCACATTGGTGAAGATGGCGAGTGACCTCTGTGCTCTGCACTACAATCCAACATACACCATTTTTCACAAGAACAAAGTAGTCCTTCACTCTGACCTCACGTTTCTTCTGAAGGTTGTCTCCCCTTTCCACCTTTCTCAGTCCACAGTTCTGCCCATGTTTTTTCCAAATCCTGCTGACGACAGTCAGAGGGCATTTCACACCTTGGATGTCTGCAGGGTGCTGTCCTTCTACCTATCCAGGACTAGCTCATTTCGGAAAGATTGTTTGTGACCTACAGCAAGCCTCGCCTGGGACACTAACTTTCCCCCCAGTGGCTTGCTAAGTAGATAACTGCAGAGATTACACTTTGTTACAAACTCTTGAAGGAGCCTTTACTTGTTTCATTGAAGACCCATTTCATGAGGGCTGTCTCTATGTCATCAGCCTTCCTTGAAGGTGTTCCCCTGGAGGACATCTGCTGCCTGGTCCTACCTGGTCCTACCTGGTCCTACCAGTCCACCTTTGTGATGCATTATGCCCTCGACATCAGAACAAGGTGAGATGCATCCTTTGGGCAGTAGGTGCTATGGTCCATCTTCCACTGATGCCTGCATTCCTTCCTCTACCCTGGTAGGCCCCTGCAGGTAATCTTCTGTAAGTGTTCATTTCCTTTCCCATTGCACTATTGGACTGCCAGCACCCTCCATTGATGTGTTGGAGCTCACTAATCACCCATGTGTGGGACAGCAGAGAGACCACGAAGAAGATTAACAGGATACTTACCTGTAACTGATGATCTCGGAGTGGTCATCTGTGCAGTCACACATACCTACTGCTGGCATCTCTCGCTTGTCTCTCTTTACTTGGTGGGACTTGTCAGTGGCGGCTGGAAGAAACTGAGTGGGGGGACACTCCAGGCATATCCACCTGCTCCCCAGAGCATGAGGAATGAGTGTGCCAAATGCCAGAGGTAGTTCTCTTGTAGTTCTCTGAGGTCAGGTTCATGCACAGGCGCAGTACCCATACGTGTGACTGCACAGATGACCACTCGAAGATCATCAGTTACAGGTAAGCAACCTGTTTTTATTCTTTGCGTGTAGTTTTTTCCCCCTGTGGCTGTCTTATGCAATGTGTTAGCAGAATTCTGGGCCCTGGGTGAAACTCAGCATCCATTCTCCTAGTTTTGGAGAGAAAATCTGCATTTGGTGGCAACTTATAGACACCCAATTTTTTTCTCCCTCCCTTAGCATTCCCTCCCCCCTTTTCCTCTGACTGGAAGACAGAGACTCCTTCTAGTCTAAAGGCAGCCTAAATAGCCCAGATTAACCCAAGCTTGTGAGAGCTTGGGAACTAAGTAGGGTCGGCCATGGTTGGTACTTGGTTGGGAGACCACCAAGGAAGACTTAGGTTGCTATGCAGAGGAAGACAATGGCAAACCACTTCTACTCATCTCTTGCCTTTAAAAGCTTGTGGGGTTGCCATACATTGGCTGCAACTTGACAGCACTTTATTATTACCAATTTAACAATAAATAGATGGATTGTAAACCTTAAAATAAGTAGTTAACTAAATAAAGATTTAAGAGAAATAAACTTTCTTCCAAGTGATAATTGATTCTTTTAACTTCCATTTTCAAACTTTAGAATTATAACTGTAAAAATATAGACAGATTGGTCTGTTCTGTATGAATAAAGACACAAGTCATACTGTGACACCTTAGAGGCTTAACAGATTTGTTGCGGCATGAAACTTCTTCAGATGCACGAAGAGCGCTGAGAAGGTGGAGTGTGTGTATATTATATCCTGTTCACATGCTGTTTCATCAGCTGCTTTTTTAGTCCATTTGAAAGATATGATAAAATATCCTATTGCCCACTAAATTTATGCTACAACCCATTTGTCATATTAGTGGGGGAAAGCATGATTATAGGCACTTTATTTATTTAATGTAAAATATTAATACCCTGCTTTGTTTCCTCAAACTTTAGGCCACTAGCAAAACAGCAACACTGTAAAGACACATAGGCTTGGATCCTACGAATGAGTTCCTTGTGTGCTACTCTCTGTTGCACAGCATGCTTCCTCTCTTCTGCTAAAGTGCAAAGGCACATTGGAAACCGTTGATCTTGGTCTAGCAGAAGTTATAGCAGAAGAGGAGGTGCACTCCGTGGCAGACACTGGCATGTATGGAACTTGTCTGTAGAATCCAAGCCATTATTATTTATTTTATTTATTTATTTAACTTTCAGTTTATATACCGCTCAAACCCCGAAGGGTCTCTGAGCGGTTTACATACGATTTATTTACGATCGGTTAACCAAGTCTTGACACTCAGCTCATGTGGATGTGAGAATGCATAGAGGCCAAACCATTTGGGATTTTGTGTGCCAAGCAGGTTCTTTGGCTCATGTTCAGAAGATTTAGGCGCTGCTTGTGTCTGGAAGGACTGATGTGATATGCTTCTAGCAGCCCGCCTATCAGAGAATGTTGCCTCGTTTATATGTATTGTACACTCTGAACACTGTCTTTAAGGTAGGCTTTTTAATTCTGAAGACAAGGCTCAGAAATCATCACATCTGTTAGTTGTGTGATGATTTCTGAGCCTTGTCTTCAGATAACTTGTCTCAAGATAACTAATTTACTAACATAGAAGCAGTGCAAAGCAAGAACTCTACAAGTATATTGTCTTATTAACAAATGTAATACTAACATTTAGTTTAACTGGGATATGATCTCTCACTCTTGGGTTTTTAGTTAGTGTGGGCATCTTTTCTTTATCCATAGATGTAGTCCCTTCCCAATTTTTTTCTTTTTTGTAGTCTATTGAAAAACAATAAAAATACCCCTTCAGGGGTTTCAAAAAAGAAGAAGAAAGAAATCATCACATCTGCTTTCATGCTTTGAAACAGCACAGTGGCCTGTTCACATTTAGGGAAATGCCATCATTACTTTAAAAGGGAAATTTTCTGACCTTCATTAAATTGTATTAAACCATTCTGGGAATTTTCTGTAAAAGGGACCCAATAGGGTCTGTGGGGCTAGGGTGGGGCTTATTTACTATTCAGTGTTCCAGATCCTTTTTTGTAGTCCTATATGTATAATTTTTGTGGTCTATTTCAAACCGACCTTTGTACTAATTTATGTATATACTAGAAATAATGCCCGTTGCGGAAATAAATACAACGGGATCTAGAAAGAGGCTCTGGGAGAGTGCTCTGGCTTTGGGCAAACAGTGTCAGTTTCCTGTGGCGACCTCAGCAGGGTTTAATGACAGAGTCCACTGTTTTCTCCAGAGGGACTGATCTTTGCTAACTGAAGAGCATTTGTATGTTTGAGTTATCTGTAGCCCTCACCTGGAGAGTGGTAACCATTGTTACCCATTCTCCTCTCCCCTATGAGGTATGTTATGCAACTGAAAATCCCAACTGCCTTGCGGGGGGGGGGGAGTTTGAGGTGTGGAATGGACTGAAGTCCAATCAGCTTCCATATGCAAAAGACCAGGTTGTCGCAGCAGTTGTGGTGTGGGCGGGACCCGGGCTTTGCCTTCTGATTGGTGGCGATATATGCTGAGGAGCAGCGCCATCAGCCATACACTAAGGGAGTGCATTTTAGAATTAGAACTTTGGCACCCACTATTCAATTATATATAAGGAGAGATTTACATATAGTCATCCAGACCAAAATGATGCAAAGTGAAAAAAAAAATATTAACAACCAACTTTTCTCCCAAGCCAGCTACTCAGTATAGTTTAAAAGCCCTTTACTGTTTCCTTTTCATGTCCATGCTTAGGCCATGCTAATCCAGATACATGGGAATATTCCAAATTTGAATGGAATGAAGATGTCTTGCAATTATGGGAATGATGTCACCATTCTAGCTACTGCAGCTACTGCAGATTCTTGGAACCAGTTTGTTTATTGCAGTTTTCTTCCCAGAGAGAAATATCCAGCTTTCCCCTCCAATCAAGGTATGTAGCAGGGGAAGTATTAGCATGCTGGAAAAATTATTATTATTATTCAGTACTGTTGAGGTGATGCAGTGGCATGCTCATTGCAGTGGTTGGAGTGTCTGGCCGAGGTTCAAATCCCCACTCTGCCATAGAAGCTCACTGGGTGGCCTTGGGCCAGTCATTACCTCAGCGTAACATAGTTCCCAGGGTCGATGGTATAGGTTAAAATGGAGGAGGGGAGATTTATGTGGTAAGCCTCTTTGTGTCTCAGCTGGAAAGAAAAGCACGGTATAAATATCTACATAAATAAATAGTAGATGGAATGTATAATTAGTCAGTGTTAGGATTGCTGTTGCAATCCCACCCCTATTGTGTTTGTGTTTGAGTATAAATACTGAAGTGTGCTTTTGTAGCTTCCTTGGTTTTGACCTATATCCTATGAATTCTGCAGTAAAAATGCCAAATTCATTAAAAATTTGAAATTTTACCAAAAGAAAACCAAATCTGCAACCGTAAGGGAAGAAATTTATGAAATGTCAGGATGACAGAACTGTTTCTTGTAGATGCATGATATCAAATTTCTATCCTTGTCAAAAGGAGAAAAGCATAAGTTTTCCTTGTTCTTTATGTTGACTGCCTACTCCTACATGCCCTAACCTGTATAGCCCAGGCTAGCTCAGGCTGCTGTCACATTGGTGGCATGGCACAGTATGGTGCCATCTCAAATTTTACCAGTTCAAAGTGTAGCAGAGCTTTTCATCCAGACCACACACACTGTGGTGGGTTACCCGTGTGGCCATCCCATGGGGGAGCATCCACATTAGTGTAGTGCTTCAACCACCGGACAGGGTGTAAGAGAGGATTTTATTTAAATGCAGGCGGATGAATGCGCATATGCACAGCAACTAAAAAAACCCTCAGTGGTAGAAACAGATCTGCAAGTTCAGATGTCCCTTCTGGGTTCCTTTTGCTGCAGGAGAGTTCAGACATCGGAAACCCCAGAGGGGAACTGCTAACAATCCATTCATACCGGATTTTCCCCGGTATCTGTTTCTTCCACTTCCACTGCCAACAGTGTGGGCTGCCGATGACTGTGCCATGGGAGGCAGATATCCTCATCTGGAGGGGCCCATATATTCCGCTTGGGTAATGTCACTATAGTGCCACAAACTGCACATCTGACTGCAGTCTTGTCAGTTCTCAGAACTAAGCAAGTTCAGCCCTGGTTACTATTTGGATGGGAGACCACCAAGGCAGTCCAGGGTCTCTGCACAGAGCTAGGCAGTGGCAAACACCCTGTTAGTCTCTTGCCTTGAAAACCCCATGGGGTTGCCATAAGTCAACAAAAAGACCCCAAAACCCTCCTATATGAGCATAATTGACAGCTGAGCCTGTTCACACGGAGGGCAGGATAGAAATTGAATTAAATAAATAAAATAAAAAAACTCTGGTCATCCTCCAAGGACCTGTCTCAGGTGTCCTCACTATCTGAGGTTAGATGGATGGCAGCCTGAGAAAGCACCTTCTTGGTTGTGGTATTGAAATTTTGGAACTCACTTCCCAGAAAGATTCATCTGTCATTTGTCTGTTGTCATTTGTATTTTAAACAATGTTTCAATGTTTGCTGCCTTAAGGACTGTGATTTGAGTGGAAAAGTGGGATAAAATACTATTTATTTATTTGCTGAAATTCAACTTTCTGGTTTGAATAAGTAGTTCAGATAAGTAGTTTAAAGCTGTAGTTTTAACTAAACAGAATCCAGTGCATTTCCTGGGGGAGAGGGGAGGAATTCTGAGGAGCTTTCTCCATTGGAGAAAAAAACAGCAGTTTTGATCACGTTTTTTTCCTTCAAGAATTTATCTTGTCTTGAAAGCATGAACAAAGAACAATACCAAAGCAACTCTCTTGTGATCCAGTATCTTTTGGCTTTCTTTTTTTTAGACCACGTGATTGTTCAAACTGCTGTGAGGGTCAATGACAGAAACATTGTGTGGGCCAATTTCACCATCTATGACTGCAAGAGAACTGGAAACAGTTACCCAAAGACAGCGTAAGTGATCCCATGGTCTGTTAATTACAGTGGAGAGGAGATAGCAGATTGCTGATAAACAGTAAGTTGTTTGGCTAAAACTTGCATCAGAATCTGGGACTGGAAAATCAAATCTATCTTGTATTTTAGTTTTGGTGGAGGAGAGTTATTTCCTAATTTACAACCTTAAAAAGTATGCATTCAACACCCAGGAGCCTTGATTGTAGTGGGTTAACTAAGCAAGAACCACTTTGTTGTCAACCAGATATTTTAGGCCCTGGGCAGGATTTGGCAGGGAAGACAGTGCAGCTTGCCAGGGATTTGCAGAGGAAGGGTCTTAGTGTATTTCAGACCATCTGGACATTTTGATGGGTTTTGGCATTTTCCCCCTCAAGTTTTTAAAAACATGAATAACATTTTTTTTAGTCTGAAAGCTTTTGAGTTAACCCTCAGAACTCTGTAATTATCAGAAGAAAAACAATCCCTATTTAAAGACAGATCGGTCTTTTACACAGCAGAAGACAGTGGCTTGGATCCAGCAATGCATGAGCAGAAGCATAAATGGACTTCGCTCACTTCCACTTGTTTAGAGTGGAGCTGCACTAAGTCCATTTATGCTTCTGCTCATGCATTGCTGGATCCAAGCCATTGTCTTCTGCTGTGTAAAAGACCGATCTGTCTTTAAATAGGAAATAGCCATTTCCTCCCTATATATTATAGTGCCCAGAAATTGGTCATGGAACACCTTGCACAAGCAGAGATGGAAATGTGGATACAATAAATGTGACTTAGCACAATTGGCTACAATGGTCTTTTTAAAATGTATTCGCTTGTACAAGAGCTCTAGGGCAAGTGGAAATTTTGCACTCGAACCAACTCAGTGTTTGGGGGTTCAGTGAATATACTGAACCAGAAGGCTGTGTGCTTTTAATACAGATTTGTGGAAATAGGTAGAGTGTTCCCTAACATGTTTATCTTCCCCGCCCCCAACATCCTGCTGTCATTACTTCTAGAAGTCATCACTCCCACTTGCATACACATCATGTTACCAGTCACAGTTATGGATAGTCACTGCAGAAGGATGAAATCTGAGGTGTATTGAAATAATATGAATTTAGTGCGACTTCAAGAGCAAGGGATGAGTAGATTCTGTTTGAAAATTGCACCCTCTGGAAGTCTTCCCACCTACTAGCGAATCTTGTTGCTGTGATTATGGGAAGGGCAATGCATATTTCAGGAAGCAACTTTGTAAAGAGTAAGTAAAGGATAGGAGTAGGCAGTTTTGGAGGTGCCTGGATTGGATGATATGGAATTGGAGAAAGCATAAAGAGCAAATGATTGTGTAGAATTAATTGGCTAGGAAATCGATCCAAGCTTGTTACAAAATAACTGCTTAGCATGCTAATAGCATAATTTCCTGAAAGTTCATGGTGAGAAATTTTATGTGGCTACAAGAATGCCATTCGAGTTCATAGGTGGCCTTGTTAGCTACTTTTGAAAAATGTAACTTAAGGCCCACACTTGGGTGGTATACACTTTGCCTCCTGCAAGCCTCCTCTTTTTTAAAATTGAAGTTGATGTTTTTCAGATTTCTAGTGAGTGAATTGGTCCCAGAAACATTCAGTTACCTAGGGTGATCACATTATTTTTTTTAATACTGGCTTTATGGCATGTAGAGGGGCTTGTTTGGAAATAGCAACAGTAGTCCCATTAGAAAAAGAACAAGCAGATATGGATAAATGGGCAACTGCTTTACTAAACAAAACTTGGCTACTGTCTTTCAGTCTATGTGTGTTCAGACTGTAAGTTCTGAGGTTTAAAGTATAATTCACAGAAACAATGAGAGACATTGCACATGTTGTACTCTAGTTGCATCACATCCCATATTTTTTCTGAGTTGCAGAAGAGTAAACATATATCCCTCTGGATTTAATCACCAGTCAGAGTGCTAGTTCTGCCCTGTGAAACTCAGTATAGATCAGAGGGGTTTGCTAATGCATCATTATAGCTCAGATGCCAACTTCCCAGTTACAGTAAATAAAAACCACACAACTAAAATCTGCTTAAAAGCCACTGTAGCTTGCTAACACCATGTGTATGAAAGGAACCACTCACATGCTGAAAAAGAAAAGGGTAATGTTTTACAGCCTATGTTAGCAGGAGTTCGGACAAGCTGGTCATAATGTTAGAACTAGCCGCAACCATCTCTTTATCTGCTAATAAAACACATGGAGGGAGAGGGTGTTGGTGTCCCATTTATAATCAAAGCCAGTTTTATGCACTGCCTTTTAAAAGTGAGATTACCCCTGTTGGCTTGAGAAAGAACTAGTCCCTGCAAAAGTAATTCCTGAAAAACAGAGGATAATGGAAGTATCTGAAAAACAGATGTGACATGAATAGTGAATTAAAGTAGAATGACAGAAGAAAAGCCCCTAGGTCTCCTTGCCGCACACAAAAAAGTGAGGTTAAGAGTCTTCCGTGGGTGGACTTGTCATAGCCATAATGCATGCATACTTGTACTGGCTGCTTAACTCAAGAGAAGCATCTGTGTGTAAACTATGCTAAATGAGTAAGCATATGCACCTTCTCTGTGTTTCAGGTGTATCAGCTGCCTCTCAGCTAAATGGAAGTGTTACTGGTGCACTCAAAGATATACCTGTGTCTCCAATGCCTCTGAGTGTGAAGGTTCGATACAGATGAATGTAAGGCATATCACACTGCTAGTTATTAATTTGGTCCCCTTAATCAAGATGCCTCGCTTTTTTTTACGGTTTCCTATCACCTCGGTGGGTGGGTGACTGTAAGTAGGGAGATGTGGACTCCGAAGTGTCGTTAATATGAATTAAATGGTTTATTGGAAGATGTTACTGCACAGTACATTACAAAAGCAAATCGCAAACTGAATCAGATGCATATGCCAGAATACATATGAAAAAAACCATGAATACAAAGCCTTCAGAAAGAAGCAGAGGGCTACAGAAAATAATATGAACAGATAAATATGCAGAGCATAAGCATGAGCAGGTTTTTGTCAGGTATCTGTGTGTCAGTCTTCATGCTTGGTCAGCAATCAGCAGTACGTTTTGGAGACTTCCAATGATGAGTTTCAGGCTGGAGCTCAAGGAAAAATACTTCTGAATAACATGATTATGTAAACAGTTGGGGTGGGTCTTTTCCCCCTTATGTGTGAAAGCCAGTCCTGTGCAGTGTGGTTCTCAGAACATCTCAGCAGCTACTTATCTTAACTCCGCTGGCAAAGTTAATATTCCAGTTGAGACACCAGTTTCTGGGCTCCTTCAGCTGAACGCACAGATTTCCCCTAAGCTGCTGAAACAACTCCACAAAATAACAAAAAATCAAGTAATCCATTTTTTTTCTTGCCCCGTAATATCATGTAGGGCTGAACACAATTGAGGTTGAAAAAATCCATTTGGATAAGCTTTTGACAAATTGCCCCCCCCCCATGAAGTCTTCTCTTAATACGGTGTTTTCCCAGTGTTTGCACTGGGATGTCATCATGGAATTCACAAGAATCACTTGGTTTGGTCCTGCAGTCTCACCAAAAGTCACAATTTTAGTGGCAAACTATACAGAGTCAGGGTCGGAAAGATGGAGGCTGTACCTGGACCAATCCAGGGCCAAAAACAGTACTGGATTAACACTAGCTCATGCTACTTTTTTCATATCACTTAGTTTATGTCTTCTTTGTTTTTTAGAAATAATGCATTTAAAAATGTTTTATTGGTTTTAGGATTACTATAGAAATATCTGTATTGGGGAAGACATTTTTGAGAAATGTGCATGTGGTAGAATGTATTCATTTCAGAGGACTAGGTCTTTGAAGAGTGGGATTTGAGTCCAGTAGCACTTTAGAGACCAACAAGATTTTGAGGATATAAGTTTACGAGAGTTAAGGCTCCCTTCATCAGATACAAGGAGGAAAGGAGATCCCTGAGCCCTTATATCCCATTCAGAAGGTGAGAGGGGTGTTGTGAAGGAGGAAGTCAGGAGGATGCAAAGTGTAATCAGCTTGATTACAGCAGGGGAGAAATGCTTTGGGGCAGAAAATTAGCATCTGTAGTGAGATTAGAATCCTATGTCCCTATTCAGCCCTGGGGGGATCCATTGTTCTGAATTTATAAATAAACTCAAATCAGGTCTTTGAACACATTTCTTCCCAAAATTTTAGTGGACAGTCTGCTCTCTGTTCAGAATTCAAGCCTCCACTAGTCTGTGCATGCATTCCTAAGGTATAGGGAACGTGGTGGTCAAAACTTTGTTACATAGGTATACTTTGACAATACTGAGTTACGTGTTTCTTTAGCTGTTGAAAGGCAACTTCAATCCCCTCCCTAAAGAAGAACAACGTTCAGCTGTGCATGCCTCAAAGGAAGGGGGTGGTGCTTTCTGGCTCAGTTCTCTTTTGACTACGGCAGAGTGAATAGCTCATGTTATTGTTCCTCTCATTAGGTGTTCCTTTAGCTTTTAGAATTTCTACTTCTGCTTCATCCTCAGTTTTGTCCTTTTCCTCAGAATAAATAAATGAATACATAAGCAAAGTCCTCTCCATGAGACTATGAAAAAAGCAGCCCAATTTTAAAAAGAGTGGCAGAGTGAAATTACCAGCTTCTGATATATGTGGTCTCTTGCTTCTGTTGTGCCAAATTAGCAAGGTAATCTTGGAGAAACCACATCTCCAGGCTTATTTATGTACAAAATGTATATCCCTCCTTTTTGGCCCAAACAGGACATTATAAAACACATTATCAGTGAATACCAAAACCAACACATGTATAAAAACTAGACTTAGGGCTGGTTTTGGAGTAATCCTTCTTGACCATAAAATGGCTGAACTGACCTTGTCTTCTCAGCTCCCTGTTGCTAAACCAGCTCTCTCTCCATTGTCCTCTGCAGCCAGGGATTAACAAACAGTTTTTGCATCTCCAGTTCACACTCCAGCTCTCAGAACTGAAGCACAATTGTCTCACAAACAGCCTTCATCCCTGTGGTACTGGAAACTATCTAAGCACCACAAGGACCCAAATGAATAAACTGCACAAGAGCTAAGTCAGTCAGGAGAAAGAGAATGAAGAAGTTTACCGAATCTTGAACATCACTAAAAGTTGTGCAAATTCCTGCACTGATGCTATGATCTTGTTTGGTACCAACATCGAACATACTAGCGGTAGAAATGAACTGGGTCCAGGACTGCTTCCATGCAGCTTCTGGAATCCCTCTCAAGATAATGCAGCATCATGTGTTGCATTGTTCTTACATGGGCAAACAGAGGATGGTCTGGCTCAGTGGCAGAGCATCTGCTTGACATGCGGAAGGTCCCATGTTCAGTCCCCAGCATTTCCAATTAAATGGGTTTAGGTAGGAGGTGATATGAAAGACCTCAACATTGAGATCCTGGAGAGCTGCTGCCAGTTTAAGTAGATGGTACCGACCTCGATGGTATGATTTAGTATAAGGCAGCTTCATGTGAATCTAGAAGTGGAAGCACAGCAGCCACTTGCTAAAATACCTGATGTTGGTTATCAGCTTGTCAAGTTTGCCAGTACAGTTTTAGCATCACTACTGATGCTACAGAACAAAGTCTGAGCCCAGTGGCACCTTTAAGACCAACAAAGTTTTTTTCTGAGTATAAGCTTTCATGTGCAAGCACACTTCTTCAGCTACAGATATGTCTGAGGAAGAGTATGTGCACACAAAAGCTTATACCCAGAATAAAACTTAGGTCCCTGCCACACAGCAGAAAAAAACATGGGCAACGTGCGGCTATTCAGAGCCACACCAAAAGAAACACACGGTGGCAGAATCACATAGATCCCCTGAGCCGCCGCACCGTTGCTCCCTGGCACGATCAGATGCCGGGGAGGAAGCCACCGACCAGAGACCGAGACAGTCGGCTGTGCATGCGTGCACATGCGCAGTTCGGCCAGGAGCCTCGGATGCGCCGGCAGAAGGACGCGCCGGCGATCCCACGGCCGTGCTTGATGTGGCCTTTCTGGTAAGTCCACCTCTGTAGGTGGTTTCTTTTAACTACGGATTTTCGGCCTGAAGGGCTGGATCGGGGACGGGTGCGCAACGCTTCCCAGATGTTGCGGTGGGATCACGCCCATTTGCTGCGCCCCCAATCAGGCCCTAAACCTCCCATGTGACCGGGGCCTTAGTTGGTCTTAGAAGTTCCGCTGGACTCAGACTTTGTTCTGCTGCTTCAGACCAACACGGCTACCCACCTGGATCTATACTGATGCCGCTGTCCTTCTTTGTTCTTTGAATGGTCATTTTTGCAGTCACACAATTGCTGGCATCCTGTATCTTTATGGGAGTTTCTAGCGGTGGTGTGAAGGAACTAAATGAGAAGGCACTCACCTCTCCCCTTTAGATGTATAGAAGGCCATTAATGTCGGGAAAGGGGATTTGAGCACCTGTTCTTTAGGTAGAGGGCTAAACCTTTCCAGAGTTTTTTTGTGCATTGGCACAAAACCCATGTGTGTGACTGTATAGTTGACCACTCAAAGAACATCAATTCCAGGTAAGCAACCTGGTTTTCCCCATCCCTCTGAATCTCATGTTCAATATGTGTGAAATGAGCATTGTAATACTTGATGTTTGAGTCCTGTGATGTAAGCTACTGTTTACACACACACACACACACACACACACACACACACACATATATATATATATAGAGAGAGAAACATTTGTATTTAAGAACATAAGAGAAGCCAATGTTGGATCAGGCCAATGGCCCATCCAGTCCAACACTCTATCATACAGTGGCCAAAAATACCAGGTGCCATCAGGAGGTCCAGCAGTGGGTCCAGGACATTAGAAGCCCTCCCACTGTTGACCCCCCCCCCAAGCACCAAGAAGACAGAGCATCACTTGCCCCAGAGCCCCTAGCTATACCTTGTGGCTAATAGCCACTGATGGACCTCAGCTCCAGTTCCCTCTTGAAGCCGTCCATGCTTTAGACACCTTGAGCAGTTTCTTGATGTTCAGGATGTTTTCAGATATAGGAAACTGTTTTTAATAAATAACTATTTAATTAAAATATTCAGTTTTCCTGATTCAGTTTTTTCAGCAGGATTTATCCCTTGGTTTTTTTTTGCCATTCTGAATTGGAGAAATTTATTTATTTCCACATCCCTTGCAGTGCTTGGATTTATGCAGTAAAATAAGTCTAGTAATACATTTTTTTTTACACGTCTGTTGTGGGAGATTAATAAAATGGTAGCTAACAAGCTATCAGCAGTGAAATCACCGCTTAGAAACAGACAATCACCTTTATTCCAAATGAATCTCTTAATAAGAGGGAATCTTTGGCAGTTTGCCTTTTAAGTTTAAACTGAAGTTAAATTAAATAAATTGGTCTTTGTGTTATTCTTTCACTTGTCAGTCACATCCCTGTTTTTAAGCACTGCTTCACGTGAAAATGAAATATAATTCAGTCACACCACATCCATTGCCCTCAAAGGGAGCACTTGCTGTGTACATTTCCTCCTTTGGTCCTCAGCTCAGAAGGAGAGGACGCTCCTACACCAGTTTCCTCTTCTTTGTGTTCCGCTCAGTTCACCTCTGTCTTCTGGGGGGAGGGGGCTAGCAGATTTGGCAGGCATGTCCTCCTATGCCTGGCGTGATGAGGGCTTAAATAGGCCTTGCAGAACAACCACCACCACCATTCTCCTAGAAG